CCCCCCCCCCCCCCTTAGTACATCCTAAAAAATTTGGGAAACTGTTGAACATACAGCTGGATACAATTTGAGGTGTTGTTAATGATACCGTGACAAATGACGTTGAAGAAATGAGGATGATAAATTTTGGATTTTGTGCTTTTTTTTACCAATAGAGAGAGTTACGTAACACTGGCTCTGACCTGCCCCCACCCCACCTCTTGTAACGGAGGCTCATAGCGCTGTTCATTTTGAAAGCAGTTCATTAAGGTATTTAAGATCTCACCCTCCTCCTCGAAGTATTTCTGAGCGTTTTAGGAGGCAACTCAGAATCTCTCTAATTTTGGAGCAGTTGCGGTCGGTTAATCTAGCGTTGCAGAATTTTTCATATCAAAGATGGGGAATCAGCGGATCATTTCGATTCCGGTGGGTAATTTAACCAGGTCATGGTGCATGACTAAATGCTGATGATAGAAACGGTTTGCCGGTCATTTCAGAGCACTAGGTTACATGGTCGCACAAAGGGGGAATCCAAGGGGGACCTGCCCCCCCTAGAATTGAAAATAGCATCAGCTGCCCCCCCCCCCAAAAAAAAAAAATAAAATCTGGATGGCGGGGAAAAACCCTCGTCGATTATAGTTAGATTAAGGTAGAGTCTTATATGAAAACACCGTGTTCTTGTTCACTCAGTTATTATGTTCTAAAAGTTTCATTGCCGAAGCCTCAAACTGTGTCCAAATGGAGTTAAAATTTGAAAAAATATCCAGATGTGTTGAATGCAACAATTTGAAAGTATTTTGTGCGAAAGTGAACAAAATAAACGTAATTTCTTCGCAGAAATTGATGGAAAATCTGCGTTATGGAGGCCTAAAACTGCGTCAAAGAAGGTAGATTAAAACTTTCGAAAAATTGCGGAGGCTAGGGGGGCCGGGACCCCTTAGAAAAATGACCTACGTACTCCTATGCTTAGTTAATCGACTGGTAAAGGATCTTAATAAAAATATAGTCAATTTATGGCATTTACACATAAAAACATGGAAAATTCAATCTGTCACGAGTTATTTAAATATGTGGCCGGATCGTTGCAGTCATCAAGGATGGTTGGATGTAAAATAAGGCAAATAGCTCTGAGTTATATATATTTGTAATCACATACATG